CAAGAACGCCTCAAGGAAATTTCTTCAAATTTAACACAGACATCTGCGAGGCGATGAACTGTGACCTGTGACTGTAGCTGTGTTTCCATCCAAAAGTGATTTGAATCATTGGGAAATGCGCATTAAAAGAAATACGAATCCTGTGTGTTTCCATTAAATGTACAGACTTTGGTGAAAACTACGAACTCGTGCGAGTTTTCCGCAGAACCGGAAACAAAACAAGTCTCACATTCTTCTTCTTCTTCTACGTTTTCTGGCGGTTGGCAACCAGCTTGTAAATGCATTACCGCCTTCCCGACCCGGAGTGTGGATATCACCATGGAGAGAGGTGCGCTACGTCAGACTTAATTCAAACATAACTGTTTCCATCCCCCGTTTTGCGAATCAACATTTTTTCTAATCAACCAAAACCCGGCTAAAGCGAGCGTGTTTTAGTTTGTGCGAATCAGGGGATTTTAATTCGAATTTTGGCATTTCCATCATAATTTTCCGATGCGATACTTCTAGATGTGCATCTAAACAGGCTGATGGAAACATGGCTTGTGTTGCTTATTACTAATGCAATATGAGTTGGGTTTGGTGCTGTGATGTCGCCAACACAGGCTGATGATGAAAGCTTCTTTTAAACTAATAAAGTGTCATAATGACAAATGTCAGTTCAGCCAGTTTTCATAAAACAAATAATGACAAAACTCAGATATGGACCAGAGTCCAGCAGGATCCAGTTCAGGATGTGTTTTTGATGAGAACAGCTGCTTCATGAAGGAGAAGTAATGAATAGTAAACACTGTTTGACTGTGAGAGCAGCCTGCTTTTAATTATAATCAGCTGTTAAACACATAAAATGTTTGTTTATTTTAACTCAGTGATTTATTTAAAAGTAAAAAATCATCTGTTGTCAAATTAATGGGACACAAATGCTGTTAATTTGTGAGTGCATGATGGGAAAAAGATTATTTGTAGAGTTTCTGATCAATCAGCCGATAAAGTGATTAAAAAGATGAGAGTAAAAAAAGGTTCAGTCCTCTGCAGTCTGTCCTGTAAATCCACATCCACTAACAGCCTGGATCAGGTTCCTCCGCCCTCCTCTTACCCACAATCCCCTGGGGCTCTGCTCCTCATAATGAATGCAGCAGCGGTGACATTTGCTGCACTGACCGCCTGCTGACTTCAGATCTGCTGCACTGAGACACTGAATCATCTGAAGAACAACAGAAACTGTTTTTATTCACCGTCTGAAACAAAGAAACAAACAAGCAGCAGCGTTGAGTCGACTCCACGCGTCGACTCATTGTCTCTGAGCTGAAGGTCACAGTCTGAGTCGGTCACATGATCAGCGTTTCAGAGCTCACTGAGTATGTGCAGCTCAAAGTGATGACCTCACTGTGTCACAGTCTGAGCTTTCATCATTGATCTGTGTGCGGTCAGCGGGAGACGTACTCTGATATTCTACTTCAGTAAAAAAGCTACAGTGTAGAAATACTTCATGTTACAGGCCTGCATTCAAAATGTTCCTGATGTAAATTAAAGTCCAAAAGTATCAGCGTCAAAAGGTACTTAGTAGCAGAAGTATCAGAAAATGGAAATATTCAGTTAAAGTACAAGCAGCTCACAGTTGTGTTTAAAGCTCCAGTGCAGAGGATTTAAGGGACATAATGTTAGAGGTGGGAGATAACAGAATGAGACGTTCATATGTACATGACAGCGGGTCCTCGTCTGCGGCAGCTCGGCCTCACTCTGAAGTTGTTGAAAACTGGTGCAGTGACTTCTGGCGAAACCTTTCACATAAAAAAAGCTGTCCTTTCACGTCAGCATGATAAACAGCCGGCTGCTGGTATTGTTTAATGGTGCCTGGTGGCATCAGGGGGAAACAAAGTGGGACAACAACAAAAGTTAAGGCAGCGAAAGTCCGAGTAGGGCGGGCAGGAGGGGCGGGGGATGGGTCAGCAACTCTCACCCGGGAGGCCGGTGTTCACTTCCTGATGAATGTAGAGCCAAACCATGATGTTTCTTCTAAACCTAATTACGTGCTTTTGTTGATGTCTTGCCCCGTACCGTCAACAGCAGACTCAGGAGGATACGTAGTGCATAATATGTAGACGTGAAGGTCCACTGACAAAACATGCAGCAAGCATATGTGACGACTTGGGATGAGAACATGTTGGTAGTTTGCTCCTACGCAACAAGCAGCGTTAGAGAAAACTAAAACACTAAACGTCTTTATTCAGTGTTTTTACCGCTTTAAATCAGCTGGTGTGTTTGTTTCTGAGAGGAAGAGACCTCTGAGGATAATTCAGCTCCTCAACAATCAACACTGAAGGAATTCTAGCCGGTTGTAATCTGTAATCTGTAATCTGTAATCCTCACTGACAGACAACACTGAATCTGACACACTGGACCTTTAAGAACTAATGTACTTGATTACTTTCTACCACTGGATGTGACACAGTCACGCTGAAAAAGGCATTAATATAACATGACAATGAGGGCTGTTAAAAAAATATATCTAATTAATGACCTACACTGTGACTGATTCATGTAAATCAATCTCATCAAGTTTTGCTGTCAAAGTATTAAAAAAATTTCAGTTCAAATTAATGTTGTCAGATGTGTCGTAGTGAAGCTGCTGGATGTTGGACACAGGTGTCCCCCTGTCCTCCAGGATGTTGGACACAGGTGTCCTCTGAAGGGAGTCAGTGAGTTGGTCACAGGTAGACTGACTTAGTCTGAACACCTGGTCCAGAGTGGCGTGACGAGGCTGGCTGCTAGCGTTAGCATCAGAGGCTATGCTAGCTCAGACCTCCAGGTTTGTGTTGAGGTGATATTTCAGACTGACGTTCTCTGATGGTTGGAGCAGAACCTGCAGAGAACGCTGCTCCTATCAACAGCTCCATCTGGGCGTTTTTTAAATGTAACTGTTCCATTCACGGGGCTGAGCAGCGTCGTCTCGTCTGCCTCCATCATGTGACAAAGACACTGTGGCCTTCAGTGACGCACCGGGTCAAAGGGCACCACAGAACGCCATGAATCAGAGCTAATGCTTTGAACATGTTATTTTTTGTGTGATAGATTAATCACACAGTTATTTTGACAGCCATAATTACAACAGTTATTTAAGTAGAACAGAACCATGTACAGCAGCAGCAAAGAGAAAACATAAATATCAGTAAAGACAACATTTAACTCTTTCTCATGCTGAACACTAACAAAATCCACAGTCGTCTCTCAGCGCAGGAAAACAGTTTATCTGAAGATAGTTATTATGCATATGACCAAAAACACTGTGTGAACATTATCCACAATCTCTCAACCATGAAAACATTCATCCTACATTGCACTGTAGAATATTTGACTGTACATCCGCAGTAAGTTACTGTATCATTTTTACAGTAGATCATTGTGTAATGACAGCTGATCTCACAGCAGTTATGACTGCATATTACTGTGTTTTAGCTGTAAAATTACTGTAATTACCTGCAGGAATTTCACAGTAAAAGTTTGTTAAATATTACAGTAAACACCTGTGTAATTACACTTACAGGTTGTAACTTCCTGTAATTCATTTTCAGTGTGGATGTCAACACTGAGACATGTCGTCAGTTTGTTAAATTCAAAATGTTTCCTCATCATGTTGATGATCCACATCTTCACTTCATCAGTCAATAACGCTGTTATGCAACATTGTCGGGGGCCAATTAAAACAAGCAGCACAGACACTACGACACACACAACAATGTGTCTGTAAAAGTACAGTAAATAAGATGAAGATGGAATTAAAAATAAATATGATGCAAATTCAGATATTTTCTGCGGCTCTACAGAAATGAATCTGCAGAAAGATGGAAACAGGAGGATGAGGAGCGGCATAACGAGTGAAATGCGTTTGTGTTATCAGACTGATTCAGGATCAGATGAGCGGAGGCTGGAAAACAGCCGCAGGAGAAACTTAGATAACGTGTTATCTAACAGACTGAAAAACATGGAGCCAAACTGAAACCAAAGTGACAGATGATTAGACACTCCCTGAGAGCCATCTGCTGCCGAGGAGGAGGAGGAGGAGGAGGAGGAGGAGGAGGAGATGGTGTCTCTTCCTGCAGGAGGCCAATGAACAGCAGAAATACAGGAGTTTCTGTTGTTAAGATAAAAAAAAAATACTTAAACTTTGGTCAGCAGTCTAAAATGGATGTACAGTATGAATGACGTTTGGTTGAAGGTGTTTTTTATGTGTGTGTGACTGACTGAAGTGAAATTCTCCTCGTGTCTCTCTGGATAAACTTCACTTTAGTTTGTGCAGTCTCATCTATGATAATAATAATAACCAATAACCATATGATTTATTGTTGTAAACAGCAGCTGAGGTGTCTGTGCAGCCCCGTCTCCCAGAGATTATATACAACTAATTTCAAAGAGGAGATACGTTTGGAGGAAATGTAACGCAGAGGAAATTACAACTCAGAGTAAATTATAATGTGGAAATATGGCAAATTAACGTATCTGGTAACCTGTGAAAATGTAAATGTTGGTGGTGGACTGTCGGACACTGACAGCTTGTAATGATCTTCAGATGCCTGATGAGCGACAGGCTGTAAACTCCAGTAAATAGTCTGCACCAGGATGTTTGGGTTGGTGCGAGTTGTGAGCTGTAACTCAGCAGTAAATAATCAGCCGTGTGTGTCTGACTGTGGATGGTGGAGCTGCTGAATGGATTTGTGGAGTTTGTTAGTTGCAGCGGTGGCTGTTAGCAGCTAGCTGTTAGCAGTTAGCTGTTAGCAGCTAGCTCCGCTCGCAGACTTCACAGCTTCACCCTGCAGGACTCCACTCAGTCTGGACTGGAGAAGGTTTCTGGCAGTTTGTTAACATGTTTGTTCTTTTCATGGCGTGGGAGAAATCGATTAGAAATTCCTGATATAAAGTGAACGTGTGTTTATCACCCTGAAGGAGCTCCTCCACCCTGTGTGAGAGTCCAACCATATAACACCTCCTCCTCTGTGCTCCTGCAGGAGGCGCTGCAGAGTGTGAAGATGGCCAACGCTGTGGCTTCCTACGACCAGCTGGCCCACCAGGTGGAGGTGCTCCGTAAGGAGAACTCCCACCTGAGGAGGGAGCTGGAGGACAACTCCAACCACCTGTCCAAACTGGAGACAGAGACCACCGGCATGAAGGTCAGTCTGTCGACACACAAACAGCAACAACAAATCAATTTGTCTTTATATAGCACATTTCAAAGGAAAAGTAATCTCAATGTACTTTTGTCCATAACTGCACCAGCAATAAAACATCTCCAGTGTTAAACAGTCCACAGTGACTTCAAATATATTTTTGTTCAAAACCCCTGAGTATTGAGTTTATTATCATAAACAAAGAAAGGAAGTAAATAAAGACGGGGGAGAAGTCTGAACTTTATTTTAAATGACTGAAACAATCAATCACTTATTTGTTCTGTCCCTGGTGAATCACCTCAGTTTGAATTTGTATTAAACTGAAATAAAGAAACACTGGAATGTTCCTGTGGTGAGATGAACACTGTAGAAAATGAATTAACTTTGAATTTAAAAAAAAAAGTCACATAAGTGTTCACGTCCTGTCTGTGCAGGAATATGTTGTGCTTCAAAAAACTGGAACCAGCCCTTTACATAGACGAGGAAACATTCAAAACATGTTTGCGTCACTGCTCATTTCAGAGACATGGCGACTCATCGTCTCGTCAAACCTCAGTCTACGTTTAAAATCTCACATCGACTGAATCTGATATGAAACATATTCATATGAAAAACATCCATAAAGCTGCAGAGACAGAAATCAGGCCGAGACCTGCTGCACACTAATCCCATCAGCTGCACACACATAAACACATATGTACATGCACACATGCATGTGACTACACACACACTCGCACGTGTCCAGATGATGACAGCAGCTGGATTATCAGACTGAGCTCAGCTGGTTTCATCAGAGGCAGGACGAGAGACACACAGACAGCCGCTGGACATGACGGACATGCAGCAGGTGAGACTGCAGGAGGACGAGGGACGTCCGTCTGCAGAGTCAGGAGGATGAGGGACGTCTGTCTGCAGGGTCAGAGTCAGGAGGATGAGGGACGTCCGTCTGCAGGGTCAGAGTCAGGAGGACGAGGGACGTCCGTCTGCAGGGTCAGAGTCAGGAGGACGAGGGACGTCCGTCTGCAGGGTCAGAGTCAGGAGGACGAGGGACGTCCGTCTGCAGAGTCAGGAGGATGAGGGACGTCTGTCTGCAGGGTCAGAGTCAGGAGGATGAGGGACGTCCGTCTGCAGGGTCAGAGTCAGGAGGATGAGGGACGTCCGTCTGCAGGGTCAGAGTCAGGAGGACGAGGGACGTCCGTCTGCAGGGTCAGAGTCAGGAGGACGAGGGACGTCTGTCTGCAGAGTCAGGAGGATGAGGGACGTCTGTCTGCAGGGTCAGAGTCAGGAGGATGAGGGACGTCTGTCTGCAGGGTCAGAGTCAGGAGGATGAGGGACGTCCGTCTGCAGGGTCAGAGTCAGGAGGACGAGGGACGTCCGTCTGCAGGGTCAGAGTCAGGAGGACGAGGGACGTCCGTCTGCAGGGTCAGAGTCAGGAGGACGAGGGACGTCCGTCTGCAGAGTCAGGAGGATGAGGGACGTCTGTCTGCAGGGTCAGAGTCAGGAGGACGAGGGACGTCCGTCTGCAGGGTCAGAGTCAGGAGGACGAGGGACGTCCGTCTGCAGAGTCAGGAGGATGAGGGACGTCTGTCTGCAGGGTCAGAGTCAGGAGGACGAGGGACGTCCGTCTGCAGGGTCAGAGTCAGGAGGACGAGGGACGTCTGTCTGCAGAGTCAGGAGGATGAGGGACGTCTGTCTGCAGGGTCAGAGTCAGGAGGATGAGGGACGTCTGTCTGCAGGGTCAGAGTCAGGAGGATGAGGGACGTCCGTCTGCAGGGTCAGAGTCAGGAGGACGAGGGACGTCCGTCTGCAGGGTCAGAGTCAGGAGGACGAGGGACGTCCGTCTGCAGGGTCAGAGTCAGGAGGACGAGGGACGTCCGTCTGCAGAGTCAGGAGGATGAGGGACGTCTGTCTGCAGGGTCAGAGTCAGGAGGATGAGGGACGTCCGTCTGCAGGGTCAGAGTCAGGAGGATGAGGGACGTCCGTCTGCAGGGTCAGAGTCAGGAGGACGAGGGACGTCCGTCTGCAGGGTCAGAGTCAGGAGGACGAGGGACGTCCGTCTGCAGAGTCAGGAGGATGAGGGACGTCTGTCTGCAGGGTCAGAGTCAGGAGGATGAGGGACGTCTGTCTGCAGGGTCAGAGTCAGGAGGATGAGGGACGTCCGTCTGCAGGGTCAGAGTCAGGAGGACGAGGGACGTCCGTCTGCAGGGTCAGAGTCAGGAGGACGAGGGACGTCCGTCTGCAGAGTCAGGAGGATGAGGGACGTCTGTCTGCAGGGTCAGAGTCAGGAGGATGAGGGACGTCCGTCTGCAGGGTCAGAGTCAGGAGGACGAGGGACGTCCGTCTGCAGGGTCAGAGTCAGGAGGACGAGGGACGTCTGTCTGCAGAGTCAGGAGGATGAGGGACGTCTGTCTGCAGGGTCAGAGTCAGGAGGATGAGGGACGTCTGTCTGCAGGGTCAGAGTCAGGAGGATGAGGGACGTCCGTCTGCAGGGTCAGAGTCAGGAGGACGAGGGACGTCCGTCTGCAGGGTCAGAGTCAGGAGGACGAGGGACGTCCGTCTGCAGGGTCAGAGTCAGGAGGACGAGGGACGTCCGTCTGCAGAGTCAGGAGGATGAGGGACGTCTGTCTGCAGGGTCAGAGTCAGGAGGAGGAGGGACGTCTGTCTGCAGGGTCAGAGTCAGGAGGATGAGGGACGTCCGTCTGCAGGGTCAGAGTCAGGAGGACGAGGGACGTCCGTCTGCAGAGTCAGGAGGATGAGGGACGTCTGTCTGCAGGGTCAGAGTCAGGAGGATGAGGGACGTCCGTCTGCAGGGTCAGAGTCAGGAGGATGAGGGACGTCCGTCTGCAGGGTCAGAGTCAGGAGGACGAGGGACGTCCGTCTGCAGGGTCAGAGTCAGGAGGACGAGGGACGTCCGTCTGCAGGGTCAGAGTCAGGAGGACGAGGGACGTCCGTCTGCAGGGTCAGAGTCAGGAGGACGAGGGACGTCCGTCTGCAGGGTCAGAGTCAGGAGGACGAGGGACGTCCGTCTGCAGGGTCAGAGTCAGGAGGACGAGGGACGTCCGTCTGCAGGGTCAGAGTCAGGAGGACGAGGGACGTCCGTCTGCAGGGTCAGAGTCAGGAGGACGAGGGACGTCCGTCTGCAGAGTCAGGAGGATGAGGGACGTCCGTCTGCAGGGGCAGAGTCAGGAGGATGAGGGACGTCCGTCTGCAGGGTCAGAGTCAGGAGGACGAGGGACGTCCGTCTGCAGGGTCAGAGTCAGGAGGACGAGGGACGTCCGTCTGCAGGGTCAGAGTCAGGAGGACGAGGGACGTCCGTCTGCAGGGTCAGAGTCAGGAGGACGAGGGACGTCCGTCTGCAGGGTCAGAGTCAGGAGGACGAGGGACGTCCGTCTGCAGGGTCAGAGTCAGGAGGACGAGGGACGTCCGTCTGCAGGGTCAGAGTCAGGAGGACGAGGGACGTCCGTCTGCAGGGTCAGAGTCAGGAGGACGAGGGACGTCCGTCTGCAGGGTCAGAGTCAGGAGGACGAGGGACGTCCGTCTGCAGGGTCAGAGTCAGGAGGACGAGGGACGTCCGTCTGCAGGGTCAGAGTCAGGAGGACGAGGGACGTCCGTCTGCAGGGTCAGAGTCAGGAGGACGAGGGACGTCCGTCTGCAGGGTCAGAGTCAGGAGGACGAGGGACGTCCGTCTGCAGGGTCAGAGTCAGGAGGACGAGGGACGTCCGTCTGCAGGGTCAGAGTCAGGAGGACGAGGGACGTCCGTCTGCAGGGTCAGAGTCAGGAGGACGAGGGACGTCCGTCTGCAGGGTCAGAGTCAGGAGGACGAGGGACGTCCGTCTGCAGGGTCAGAGTCAGGAGGACGAGGGACGTCTGTCTGAAGGGTCGGAGCCCAATAGTCATGTTATGTCTCTTTGAGGTAATGTTTAATGTCTTTGTAGTCTTTTCGTGTCTCTTCTTGGTCTGTACATGTTAACTTGAGGTACATTTTGCAGGGGCCCAAAGTGTCAGGGGCCCAAAGTGTCAGGGGCCCCTGGGACTACACCTGCAAAATGTACCTCGCCTGTGTGAGGTGGGCCCGTTCAGGCAGGTGTGGTTGTCAGGGTGGGATTTGGACTCAGTATTTCGATGCTGGCTGCGGCACTGTGTGGACACTGTGTGGTCACTGTGTGGGCACTGTGTGGACACTGTGTGGACACTGTGTGGGCACTGTGTGGGCACTGTGTGGACACTGTGTGGACACTGTGTGGGCACTGTGTGGACACTGTGTGGACACTGTGTGGGCACTGTGTGGGCACTGTGTGGACACTGTGTGGACACTGTGTGGGCACTGTGTGGGCACTGTGTGGACACTGTGTGGACACTGTGTGGGCACTGTGTGGACACTGTGTGGACACTGTGTGGGCACTGTGTGGGCACTGTGTGGACACTGTGTGGACACTGTGTGGGCACTGTGTGGGCACTGTGTGGACACTGTGTGGACACTGTGTGGGCACTGTGTGGACACTGTGTGGACACTGTGTGGGCACTGTGTGGGCACTGTGTGGACACTGTGTGGACACTGTGTGGGCACTGTGTGGGCACTGTGTGGACACTGTGTGGACACTGTGTGGGCACTGTGTGGGCACTGTGTGGACACTGTGTGGACACTGTGTGGGCACTGTGTGGACACTGTGTGGACACTGTGTGGGCACTGTGTGGGCACTGTGTGGACACTGTGTGGACACTGTGTGGGCACTGTGTGGGCACTGTGTGGACACTGTGTGGACACTGTGTGGGCACTGTGTGGACACTGTGTGGACACTGTGTGGGCACTGTGTGGGCACTGTGTGGACACTGTGTGGACACTGTGTGGTCACTGTGTGGGCACTGTGTGGACACTGTGTGGACACTGTGTGGGCACTGTGTGGGCACTGTGTGGACACTGTGTGGACACTGTGTGGGCACTGTGTGGGCACTGTGTGGACACTGTGTGGGCACTGTGTGGGCACTGTGTGGACACTGTGTGGACACTGTGTGGGCACTGTGTGGGCACTGTGTGGACACTGTGTGGACACTGTGTGGGCACTGTGTGGACACTGTGTGGACACTGTGTGGACACTGTGTGGGCACTGTGTGGACACTGTGTGGGCACTGTGTGGGCACTGTGTGGACACTGTGTGGACACTGTGTGGTCACTGTGTGGACACTGTGTGGACACTGTGTGGGCACTGTGTGGGCACTGTGTGGACACTGTGTGGACACTGTGTGGTCACTGTGTGGACACTGTGTGGACACTGTGTGGGCACTGTGTGGGCACTGTGTGGACACTGTGTGGACACTGTGTGGTCACTGTGTGGACACTGTGTGGACACTGTGTGGGCACTGTGTGGGCACTGTGTGGACACTGTGTGGGCACTGTGTGGGCACTGTGTGGACACTGTGTGGACACTGTGTGGGCACTGTGTGGGCACTGTGTGGACACTGTGTGGACACTGTGTGGGCACTGTGTGGACACTGTGTGGACACTGTGTGGGCACTGTGTGGGCACTGTGTGGACACTGTGTGGACACTGTGTGGGCACTGTGTGGACACTGTGTGGACACTGTGTGGGCACTGTGTGGGCACTGTGTGGACACTGTGTGGACACTGTGTGGGCACTGTGTGGACACTGTGTGGACACTGTGTGGGCACTGTGTGGGCACTGTGTGGACACTGTGTGGACACTGTGTGGGCACTGTGTGGACACTGTGTGGACACTGTGTGGGCACTGTGTGGGCACTGTGTGGACACTGTGTGGACACTGTGTGGGCACTGTGTGGACACTGTGTGGACACTGTGTGGGCACTGTGTGGGCACTGTGTGGACACTGTGTGGACACTGTGTGGTCACTGTGTGGACACTGTGTGGACACTGTGTGGGCACTGTGTGGGCACTGTGTGGACACTGTGTGGTCACTGTGTGGGCACTGTGTGGACACTGTGTGGACACTGTGTGGGCACTGTGTGGGCACTGTGTGGACACTGTGTGGACACTGTGTGGTCACTGTGTGGACACTGTGTGGACACTGTGTGGGCACTGTGTGGGCACTGTGTGGACACTGTGTGGGCACTGTGTGGTCACTGTGTGGACACTGTGTGGACACTGTGTGGGCACTGTGTGGGCACTGTGTGGACACTGTGTGGACACTGTGTGGGCACTGTGTGGACACTGTGTGGACACTGTGTGGGCACTGTGTGGACACTGTGTGGACACTGTGTGGGCACTGTGTGGACACTGTGTGGACACTGTGTGGGCACTGTGTGGACACTGTGTGGACACTGTGTGGGCACTGTGTGGACACTGTGTGGACACTGTGTGGGCACTGTGTGGACACTGTGTGGACACTGTGTGGGCACTGTGTGGACACTGTGTGGACACTGTGTGGGCACTGTGTGGACACTGTGTGGACACTGTGTGGGCACTGTGTGGACACTGTGTGGACACTGTGTGGGCACTGTGTGGGCACTGTGTGGACACTGTGTGGACACTGTGTGGGCACTGTGTGGGCACTGTGTGGACACTGTGTGGACACTGTGTGGGCACTGTGTGGACACTGTGTGGACACTGTGTGGGCACTGTGTGGACACTGTGTGGACACTGTGTGGGCACTGTGTGGACACTGTGTGGACACTGTGTGGGCACTGTGTGGACACTGTGTGGACACTGTGTGGGCACTGTGTGGACACTGTGTGGACACTGTGTGGGCACTGTGTGGACACTGTGTGGACACTGTGTGGGCACTGTGTGGACACTGTGTGGACACTGTGTGGGCACTGTGTGGACACTGTGTGGACACTGTGTGGGCACTGTGTGGACACTGTGTGGACACTGTGTGGGCACTGTGTGGGCACTGTGTGGACACTGTGTGGACACTGTGTGGGCACTGTGTGGGCACTGTGTGGACACTGTGTGGACACTGTGTGGGCACTGTGTGGACACTGTGTGGACACTGTGTGGGCACTGTGTGGGCACTGTGTGGACACTGTGTGGACACTGTGTGGGCACTGTGTGGGCACTGTGTGGACACTGTGTGGACACTGTGTGGGCACTGTGTGGGCACTGTGTGGACACTGTGTGGACACTGTGTGGGCACTGTGTGGGCACTGTGTGGACACTGTGTGGACACTGTGTGGGCACTGTGTGGGCACTGTGTGGACACTGTGTGGACACTGTGTGGGCACTGTGTGGACACTGTGTGGACACTGTGTGGGCACTGTGTGGGCACTGTGTGGACACTGTGTGGGCACTGTGTGGGCACTGTGTGGACACTGTGTGGACACTGTGTGGGCACTGTGTGGGCACTGTGTGGACACTGTGTGGGCACTGTGTGGGCACTGTGTGGACACTGTGTGGACACTGTGTGGGCACTGTGTGGGCACTGTGTGGACACTGTGTGGGCACTGTGTGGGCACTGTGTGGACACTGTGTGGACACTGTGTGGGCACTGTGTGGGCACTGTGTGGACACTGTGTGGGCACTGTGTGGGCACTGTGTGGACACTGTGTGGACACTGTGTGGGCACTGTGTGGGCACTGTGTGGACACTGTGTGGGCACTGTGTGGGCACTGTGTGGACACTGTGTGGACACTGTGTGGGCACTGTGTGGGCACTGTGTGGACACTGTGTGGGCACTGTGTGGGCACTGTGTGGACACTGTGTGGACACTGTGTGGGCACTGTGTGGGCACTGTGTGGACACTGTGTGGGCACTGTGTGGGCACTGTGTGGACACTGTGTGGACACTGTGTGGGCACTGTGTGGGCACTGTGTGGACACTGTGTGGACACTGTGTGGGCACTGTGTGGACACTGTGTGGACACTGTGTGGGCACTGTGTGGGCACTGTGTGGACACTGTGTGGGCACTGTGTGGGCACTGTGTGGACACTGTGTGGACACTGTGTGGGCACTGTGTGGGCACTGTGTGGACACTGTGTGGACACTGTGTGGGCACTGTGTGGACACTGTGTGGACACTGTGTGGGCACTGTGTGGGCACTGTGTGGACACTGTGTGGACACTGTGTGGGCACTGTGTGGGCACTGTGTGGACACTGTGTGGACACTGTGTGGGCACTGTGTGGACACTGTGTGGACACTGTGTGGGCACTGTGTGGGCACTGTGTGGACACTGTGTGGACACTGTGTGGGCACTGTGTGGGCACTGTGTGGACACTGTGTGGACACTGTGTGGGCACTGTGTGGGCACTGTGTGGACACTGTGTGGACACTGTGTGGGCACTGTGTGGGCACTGTGTGGACACTGTGTGGACACTGTGTGGGCACTGTGTGGGCACTGTGTGGACACTGTGTGGACACTGTGTGGGCACTGTGTGGGCACTGTGTGGACACTGTGTGGGCACTGTGTGGACACTGTGTGGACACTGTGTGGGCACTGTGTGGGCACTGTGTGGACACTGTGTGGGCACTGTGTGGGCACTGTGTGGGCACTGTGTGGACACTGTGTGGACACTGTGTAGGCACTGTGTGGGCACTGTGTGGACACTGTGTGGGCACTGTGTGGTCACTGTGTGGGCACTGTGTGGGCACTGTGTGGACACTGTGTGGGCACTGTGTGGGCACTGTGTGGGCACTGTGTGGACACTGTGTGGACAATTTCCACATTTCTTAAAGACACTTTGGTTGTTGTTAGGAGATGAAGAGCAGCGTGTTTCCTCCCCGGGCCTTTTTAAAGGAGGGGCCCAGGCCATACGTCCCCGCTGAGGTCTCTGTATGATGTCACAGCTCTGACCGTGTGCAGCTCAGATTGTTGGTGCAGGTTTGACAGCTGTTGTGAAGTCGCTGTTAATGTCTTTGCGGTCTGTTATGACACAGTGACAGACTGTACAGACAGCAACGCCACCAACATACACACCAAGCTCTGTGTGTGTGTGTGTGTGTGGTCTCTCTGTTAGTTTGTCCTCCATCTTTCCTCTGTATGTTTATGAAGCAAACTGAGAACGTGTGTTTATGTGAAAATGTGCTTCCCATTGAGCTCACCATGATCACAAACCCTGACCACAGCAGCATGAAGGTCCTCTGCTGTGGTCAGGAGCTCTGGTTAACGACTGAAAGAATTATTCACCTTCATTTCATTCTCCTCTAAACATGTGTATAGATATTAAACTGTGTGTGTTGTAAAAGGACAAATAACCTTAAATATGGCCGTGAACATCAGGCGCAGTATTTTCACTCTGTAAACATGGCGGCTTCATTAACAAGGTTTCAGATCAGGAGTCTTTGTTTCAGGTTTTTTGCAGCAAACCTTCAGCTGACACTCGGGACGCTTCCTGTCTGTAAACATGATTGTTGTTGTTGTTGTTGTTGTTGTTGATGCAGGAGGTGCTGAGGCAGCTGCAGAGTAAACTGGAGCAGGAGGCAGGAACGCTGGCCTCGTCCGGGCGGAGCGACGTGCTGCACCAACTCAAAGGTCCGTATCAGATCATGTGACAGAGAGCTACAGGGTGTCATTAAACTGGTGTAATGAAGGTGATTCTACTGGACTCCACTGGGACCAGTAACTGCTCACAGAGAAATGAATCGACTCAATCAGCTAATCTGATTGGCTGCAGCTGCTCCACCACGTTATGACTCGATCCAATTAAAACAGTTAATTCAAATTAGATTTACTTCAACTGAGCTCAGCAGCTGATGAGATCATCAGACTGTGTCTGTCAGGAGGAGTAATAGATTACAGATACAAGGAAGCAAGGACAAGAAATGAAAGAGAAAAAAGGAAGGAAAAGATGAAGAGAGGGAAGTAAGTAGGGAAGGGAACAGAAAAGTAGAAGAAGGAGAAAAGACTGACAGGAACAAAGGGAAGGAAAGAAGGGAGAAAGAAAAGAAATGAAGGACAGAAAAAAAGGAATGGGGAGAGGAAGAAAGGAAATGAATAATAGAAAGGAAAAAGGGAAGAAAGGAAGGAAATTAAGGAAGGAGAAGAAGGATGGTAGGAAGAAAAGGAGTGAAGGAAAAGAAGAAGGGAAGGACAGAAAGGAAGAGGGTCAGAAAGAAAAGGAAGGAAGGAAGGACAGAGAGTAGGGAAGGAAGAGAAGAAGAAGGAAAGGAGGAATAAAACAAGGAAAGGGCGAAGGCAAGGAAGGAAGAAAATGAACAAAGGAAAAGAAAAAAAATAGGAAGGAAGGAAAGGAAGGACAAGAAGAAACAAAGTAAAGGACAAGAAGGAAGGAACGTAGAGGAATGACCGAAAAAAGGAAGGGAGAGAATGAAAGGAAGGGGGCAATGATGAAAGGAGGAGAGGAAGAAGGACAAGAAATTAAAAGACGGAAAGGAAGGAAGAAAACAAAGTAAATGAAAAACAAAGGAAACAAGGAAAAATGGGAAGGAAAGAAGTACAGAAAGAAAGGAAAGGAGAGAGAAAGAAGAGAAGGAGGAAATGATGAAGGAGCAGAGGAAGAAAGGAAGGGAAGGTAAAGAAAAGAAAAGGAGAAGAGGAAGGAAGACAAGGAACACAGGAAATGGAATAGGAAGGAAGGAAGGAAGGAAGGAAGGAATCCCATCCAGTTCTTTAATCGATTGACAGAAACGTCCATCAACTGGACAGATGGACTGACTGACTGATTGATTGATTGATTGATTGATTATTGATCATCTTCCTCCCTCAGAGCTCCACATGGACCTCACCAACTACTACGAACTCAAGCACCAACCTCACAACCTGAGACTGCTGTCGGGGAGCCTGGGAGGGGCGGGGCTAACAGGTGTTGCAGGGGCGGGGTCGGCCGGGGTCGGAGGGGCGGAGCTAGATGACCGCTTGGCTCTGCCTCCTTCCTCCTGCTCCTCCTCTGCAGCGGCGGTAAGCAGAGCCAGGAGTCCACTCAGAGCGTCGTCCCGTCTGAGCTCAGCGTCTGGCGTGGAATCTGCCGCCGTCATGCTGCCGCATCACTTCCTGGACGGGGCCCCACCCAAAACAGCTGTGATCAGTGGAGCCGATGGACGAATGAGCGACCACCACCTGGAGGAGCTGTACAAGGAGAGGTCAGCTGATCCTTTCAGTCCGATACCTGCGGCTGAGATTCTCTAGACGATGAACCCTGGACTGAGCTGAGCTCTTCTTTAACACCAGAACATATATATTAAGATAAAAAATCTTTTTATGGAAAGATTACTTTACTGAAAGATGCATTAATAATATGTAAGTTACATAAACATTTCCATCTGTGCATCATAAGACCAATTTTAAGAAGATACACACACACATACTACACACAAAAACACAGGTTGATAGCAAACAGAAAAACGATGCTTCAACTTAAATATAGATACAAGTAAAACTGTGACACGACATAAACATATATATAACATATATATAACATATTACTAATAATAAACCTAAACTATAATTAAGGAAAATTTAAAAAAAAAAAGAAACAAAAATATATTGAATTAAAATTGCTACTTGTGTGTTTCTATATTTGGTTGTGTTTTCTCACTTTGTAGCTACGTGTTGTCAAATTATAAGAAAACAGTGTAATTTGCAGTGAGCTGAGCTCTCAGGGCCACCGTAGTTTTGTGATCTTGGTGTGTGTGTGTGTGTGTGTGTGTGTGTGTGTGTGTGTGTGTGTGTGTGTGTGTGTCTCCATCCACTAAAGCAACAGTACTAGCAACATACTAACAGTGATGCTAACGGTGATGTAACAGTGATGCTAACAGTGACGCTAACAGTGATAGTAAAAGTGATGCTTACAGTGATGCTAGCAGTGATGCTAGCAGTGTTACTAAGGGATGCAAACATTTTTGCAAACAGTGATATTAACAATGACAGTAATAGTGATGCTAACAGTGACGCGAACAGTGATGCTAACAGTGATAGTAAAAGTGATGCTTACATTGATGCTAACAGTGATGCTAACAATGCTACCTGTGTGACCGTCTGCAGAAACCTCCTGTTGGGGGAGATCGACCGTGAGGAGAGGGAGCGCTGCTGGTACTTCAGCCAGCTGGAGGCGCTGTCACAAAGACTGGCTCAACTGCCTCGCATCGACACGGTGAGAACACACACACTCACTGATACACACTGGGAACACACACACACTCACTAACACATGGTGGGGTTAAACTTGCTGACGTTAATTTTCCCTCTGTACTACGTATAAACAGGAAGTTCCTCTCTGTTCTGTATTTGTCAAAATATAAGATCTGATTTCAGCAACAAGTGAAAATGCTCGCAGGGAGTGATCAGCTTTAGTTCCTGTACTGTCAGATCTGTCCTGAACTTTGTGTCTGTGACCTCTGACCTCTGACCTGTGTGTTGTTGCTGTAGTTTTCTTTGCAGATGGATCTGATCCGGCAGCAGCTGGAGTTTGAAGCACAGCAGGTTCGGTCTGTGATGGAGGAACGTTTTGGCACCAGTGATGAGATGGTTCAGAGGACGCAGGTGAGACCGAGGCTGCTGATTGGACGGTCATTTTCATCTTCAGCCTCAGCAGATTACATCATCAAAGAATTGTGTTAACGACAGATCAAAAATCTGAATGACTTTAAATTAAATCATATTGTTGAATCATTGCCGATGGGATGCAGCGCAGACAGCTGGCTGATGGAAACAGAGCACATCTGGACATGTCTGAACTGTGTGTGTGTGTGCGTGTGTGTGTGTGTGTGTTTGTTTGTGTTGCAGATGCGTGTTGCTCGTCTGGAGCAGCTGGAGAAAGAGCTGCAGGAGGCCCGAGGGAGTCAAGAGACCCAGCTACAGGTCAGACATACACAGTAACACACACACACACACACACACACACACACACACACACACAACAGCAGGCGGTAAATATAGTAAATATAAAGCTTTATAAATTCTCTGCATCAGAAACAAACAGAGTAAACAAACAAAGAAGAGGCTGTTTGGAGTTCTGTCTTTTACATTCAGAAGAATCTCACCAGGGTTGAAAATTAGCACCCGTAAATTTTATTAACCTCTCCACCACGGGTATTATTATTATTGATAATAATAATAATGATACTTTTTTTGCTTGGGTGTGTGTCTGTGTGAGGGAATAAAACATTGATAAGCATTAAATGAAATATCAAACTGATGCTTTTTATGTGAACAGTGTGTATTAGTCTTTTTTTTTCTTTGTCCAGACAAACGAAACACTAAAGTTAGTACACACAAAAGTGTGATAACAGAATGGTGGCTGGTAGAATTTGAAATCCTGAAAATCCATAAAGTTGATTTTCAACACTGAATCTCAGACTTCTTTTAGCTAAGATAAGATAAGCTAAATATGATAAGCTAAGATACGATAAGATAAGATAAGATAAGATAAGATAAGATAAGATAAGATAAGATAAGGGTGGCATGGTGCAGTACATACAGTGACACAAAAAGGTCACCAGTATGGATGATAAATATAATAGGTTTACTTAGTTCAAAGCAAAGTTGAGGTAGTTAGTGTAAGAGTTAAACAGTGCATGGTCAAAGGTCCAGTGTGTCAGAGCTAGGAGGATTTAGTATCATCTATCAGTGAGGATTGTAGATTTTTAACCAGCTGAAACTTCTCCTAGTTGGAATTCCTTCAGTGTTCTTTGTTCAGAAGCTGAATTATCCCTGATATTTCCTTTGTTGACACATTATTGCACATTATGTCCCGTTCTTTAGATTTTAAGGTGGAATTATAGCTGTTATGTCAGCTTAAGGTGGACAAGTCTCTGATGATGAATCTGATTTGTGATGACTGATGAGAGCCAGTTGGACCACGTCTGTTCCAGGCAGGGCTGGCAGATAAAATCATAAAGTGTGTGATATGTAAAGATCCAGCTGCTGCCTGTTGTCTCAAAAAGACTTGTTTAACATATTTGCAAATGACGTTGGCAGTCATTAATGTCGCATGTGTGTTGCAAAGTGAGACGTACCAGTTGAACTTCACTTTGTGACGTGACGGGACTTTAAAGCTGTAACTTGTGTCTCTGGGCTGAGCAGAGGCGAACAGGCTCAGGGGCTGATCCAGAGACACAAACATGGTTTCTTTTTTTATATGCGCAGATTTTGAGCACAATGTTTACCTGCACCTGCCGACAGCAACTGAATCAACCAGTCAGCTGGCTTGATGCTTGAATCTGCTCCTCTGTGATCCTCTGCGACCTGTGATTACCCAGAACACCCTTTCTCAGGAGAGTGCTCTCATTGGTTCACTGCAGCAGTCTTTCCCAGTCTAGCTCCACCTGACACAGCGACACTGAGCCGTCATAGGCCCAGACCCAGAACCCCGGGTACAGGGGCTCAGTGAAGCTGGAGGTGAAGGTGTGAAGGTGGACCATGGTGTCCTGAGAGATGCAGTAGAAAGACAGAGATCCTGCAGACCAGTCCAGGTAAACCCCAACTCTGTGTGTGAAGGGTCGGGGTGAGCAGGACTTGAACCTCTTGTTACGGTGGCATGGTGTGTAGCTTCCCTCTGAACACTCCAGACTCCAGGACCGCTTGTTGTGTCCCAGCAGACAGCTTGCCATGTCTCCGTTTCTGGAGATGTTGTTGTAGGTGACGCCGATGTCAGCGCCGCCTTTCCACTCCACCTCCCAGTACACCGAGTCCAGCAGCCCCTCTCTGCAAAGAACCTGAGGGCAGCGCTCAAACCGATCCGGGTGGTCTGAGGGCCAGTGGTCCGACCACTTGCGAGTTGCCGTCCTGTTGCACTCGGTCAGGTGGAGCTCTGAGTTGGCAGTGTTGGGGTCTAAGGTCAAATAACAGGCAACTAGGGGACAAAACAAGGAAGATAAGTTGATACAGCAATTAATTTTGATATTTGAAGAAACGCTGACGTAACTCTCCTGTGGCTCCTTCTGCTTTTCTGTTTCATGTTGTATAAATTAAAGTTTAAGATGCTTAGCCAGACTAAACAAACCGAAGAGTCATGATGGATTTTTCAGATTTTATAAACAAAATTGATCAATCTCATCACTGCCGAGAAGCTAGAATAATTATTAGTTGTAGCTCTAAACATAAGAAATCAATCACCTGAGTCTCTGCTAATACAAAGCAAGTGGCTTCTAACAATGATTTTAATTAATAACCTTCAGATCAACAAATAATTATCAGATTATCTGAAGCAGACAAATTATTTTTTAGTGGTGCTCTAATTGACCTTTTATGGCTGATCCTCTGAGGTAATATATCAAGATATGTCTTTGTTATCGCTTCATCAACATAATATGTTTTCCTTGAATGAAAGTATAGCTGAGTTCAGGGGTCGGCTGCGGTCAATTGTGATTGGCAGTGGGAAAATGTAATATCTACACAGAACCTGATTATTAACACTTTCCCCACCATTGACCAGATTTTCCATCATTTATGACACAACTCTTCCCCGACATTTATGAGATATTCCGTCAATTTGTGTTTTCACTGTTATAAGATAGGGGGCACTGTTAAACATCTTGTGAAATAGAGCAGCACTGCGGTGTCCAAAAACATATGAAGATGAAGATCCACTAGAAACCGGGGGAAGATGTAGCAGTTTGTAAACTGCATGAAAATGCCAGTGATGGACTCAGACTCCGACACTTCCTGTTTTGATCAACATACAAAACGGGATCTCTATGATGGTGACAGTGACACATGGACAACAGATCACTGAACGTCACAACGTGTTCAGCTATACCTCAAAGAGAATATTATTTTCAATTTAATATAATAATAATAATAATAATAATAATAATAATAATAATAATAATAATAATAATTATAATTATAATTATTATAATAGTTATTAGTGTTATTATAATAATAATTATTATTATTATTTTCATTTATACAATTCAAACTGACGTCAGAAAATTAGAAAAATCTAAAAATGTGAATGTGAAATTGATTTTATATTGAAAATGACTCTGACTTTCTAGCTTTTTGTACAAAATGTTTTTTATGAAAATGCACAAATTCAAGTGTTGATAAAAAAGAAATGGATTGAGATAGAATAAAATGTTATTTTTGTTTATAAACAAAAGGTCTCTTCTTTAGTTTCATGTATATACTCTTTACATAGTCATCAAGCAAATTATTCACTGGTTCTTGGAAGATTAGTGAACACCATCAAAAATGCTGGCGGTGACTGGAAACTTCAAAATGGCGGGGAAAGTGTTAAATAGTATTTGGGCATAATAACAAATCAAAGTTGTGAACTTGGATAACAGACCTTAAATCTGTATTAATAACCACAATTACTCTGTTTTTCATGTAACATTCAGCCCCAAACTCTCTGTTAGTAAATGTTCAAACTCTATGCAGACGATGCTGTACTGTTTATTACAGACCCAGAGAGACGAAATGTAGAAGAAATCCTTGATATAAGAAGCAGACAGATAAAATAAAAACTATGTGAGCTTACAGTTCTTCACTGACCACAAGTCTCCTCCCGGCGGACTCCTGCAAGAGCAGGAATAACCACGATATCATACAGCTGAACATGACAGATAACATTTTACTTTTAGACTGTACTGTAAACAAAGTGTTACCTTTGGTGTTCAACTCACCTTGTGTCATCTTTGTTTGGGTCTCTGAGACTGAAAAGGTTGAACTGAGAGGACAGAGGCTCCCAGGGAAGAGTCTCTGATGGCTTTTCTTCTCCTTCTTCTTCTGGTTCTTCCTGTCGTGGTTCTTCTTTTTTTTCTTCTTCTTCTTTGTTTATCCTCTCGTCTTCTGCTGACACCACAGGGGAGTCCTCACTCGACCCTTCACTCTCATATTTCTGCTCAGCTGTAAAGTTCATATAAATTAGCATTCATGTGACGCACTGTGAAATAATAGGGGAAAGTTTTCTGATGTAGCGTCATGTCTGTTTGAATACAGCCCACAGAAAAATGTTGATTTTGGGCTGCTGTGCAGTAGCCTGGTGAAACCATCCTGATCTCGCAAGCTCATATTCAATTTTGCTCCGCAGATCAGTCTGGCCATGTAATCATTAAGGCGCATTCTGGCATCGGTTAAAGCTCACCGGGCCAATCACAACCGTTTATTACTATTTATTTTTATTTTTATTTTTATTTAAAATCACGTCATCAGAATAGGAGCGGAGTGAATGCATTTCGTAAACAACCAACATGGCTGCTGATTTTGAAACTGCGATGGTAAATGTGTTGAACTAACTGCAATGTACATTTTCTTTAAAAGCAGAGCAAACAGCTGCACTGAAAGCTTTTATTGAAATAAAGGATGTGTTTGACGTCCTTCCTACGGGGTTTGGTAAGAGTTTAATTTACCAACTGGCTCCGTTGATCGGGAAAGAGATGGGACTCAGTGAAAACCCAGTGGCTATTGATGTTTCTCCACTAGTTGCTCTCATGGAGGAGCAGGTCAGGGAAGTGACCAAGCTGGGAATCACAGCCATGCAACTCGGAGTCCACAGTGAGGAGGAAATCTGCAGCGGACATTGCCAAAAGATGGCAACACTCTATCCCAGACATCATCACAGCTCATCTCCGTTGCACACTGCACTTGCTTGCTGGTCTGTTTACAGTGGCATTGTGCTAGCCTACGTCACACGTTTCGTTTACTCTGATTGGTTTTCCGTCTTTCCAATTGCGTGAAGGGGCACTTTGAGTGACAGCCGTTGATACAGCCCCTTGGGAATAGTGGAAATGTACACTCTGTGTACGCCACGCTAGTTGTGCAGTTAATGTTACACTCAGTAACCACTAATAGCATTATGGGGAAATTTTGTTATCTCCTGATCTGCAGGGGGCAGTAACTCACCAAGAAATGCTGCCAAACAGTGTTTTAAAGGGGACTCACTATGTTTTTCCTTATTTTCTGTAATATATATGGTGTTATACTGTCGGATGTTTATATTAAAGGTGGCCAAAGTTTCAAATAATTAATAAACTGGTGGAACTGAGCCTACTCAGGAAGTAACATCAGGTCTTTCACTTTCTAAAGCTACACCCAAGACTTAATTCTTATTTTTCATCCTTTCTGTTTGATCAGTTGTTGAATTTATCCAAAAATTTGCTACCCTAACCCTAACCCTAACCCTAACCTTTGCTGATGAACGTGGATTTACAGCGCAGGGCTAAGATTGTACCTGATGCTGTGACGTAAGGTTTAAGTAAAAAACATTTATGGGGATTTAAGAGATGATCTGGATGCAGACGCTTTGATCTGAAGTGATGGGTTTCTCCATAAAGTTTTACAGTGAAAAACAGCAAGCCTACCTGCCTGTGATGTAGGAATCACCTCCTGAGTTTGTTGTGTTTCATAGAGACTTTGAGTTTTCTCCTCAGAGAGAGTAATATCCACTTCACTGTCCTCCATGTCATCTTTCATGTTGTTGATTTTCTGGGTATCAACTGTCTCTTTGGTTTGCTCTGAGAGGTTTCCCCTAAAACCAGCGTCCATTTGTTCCTTGCTCGTCTCTGAAAATGTCTGTTTAACTTCCTGACCATTCTCTGCTTTTTCAGAAGGCTTTCTGAACAGACTCTGTAAAAAGAGCTCATCGACCCTTTCAGGTTTTATCTTGAAGGTGTCTTCCTGTGCAGTGACGCCTCTGTTGTCTCTGTCTTTTGAAAGACCGATTCTGAAGACATTAGAGAGGTCTTCCTTAAAATTAAGAAAGCTCAGACGGTTGATCGTCTTCTCTGCTGGCTGACTGGTTTTAGGATCTGTGGGCTTTTTAGACGAGCTGAAGACGCTGGTCACATCCTCTTTAAACTGGCTCAGGTCTTCTCTCAGGAGGCAGAGTGTACTGGTGGCAGGTTTATTTTCTGCCTGATTTGTTGGGTTTGTATCTTTGTCCCTGAACACCTTGAACACTTCCTCCTTAAACTGGCTGAAGTCCTCTTTGAAAAAACTCAGCGGGCTTATGGACCGTTTATCCCTCTGATTCGTTAGTAGAAGATCTTTTGTCCCCATGTTTTTGTGCATTTGTTCTTCAGGGTCACATCCGTTGGTCACCTCATCCCCTTGGGGACATATTTCTGACACTTCCTGGTCTTTTTCCTGCGAAGGTTCCTCAACAGGACTTATTTGTTTGTTTGTATCGTTGGAGACTTCAGAGAACACCTGTATTATCAGATAAATGTGGAATAAAGTAGAATTACATTACCACTGACAAAAGAAATTCTCTTCCATTCACAATCATAAAGACAAGCCATTCGTTGACTCTGTTGCGTGAGAGCAGTGACCTCTGACTTTGACCATGAATAAGATTATAATATAGGATAGAGTCCTTTTTTTCTTGTCTAGTTTAGAATAACATGAAAACGTCTCAAAAAATAAATATATACAGTACAGGCCAAAAGTTTGGACACACCTTCTCATTCAATGCGTTTTCTTTATTTTCATGACTATTTACATTGTAGATTCTCACTGAAGGCATCAAAACTGTGAATGAACACATGTGGAGTTATGTACTTAACAAAAAAAGGTGAAATAACTGAAAACATGTTTTATATTCTAGTTTCTTCAAAATAGCCACCCTTTGCTCTGATTACTGCTTTGCACACTCTTGGCATTCTCTCCATGAGCTTCAAGAGGTAGTCACCTGAAATGGTTTTCCAACAGTCTTGAAGGAGTTCCCAGAGGTGTTTAGCACTTGTTGGCCCCTTTGCCTTCACTCTGCGGTCCAGCTCACCCCAAACCATCTCGATTGGGTTCAGGTCCGGTGACTGTGGAGGCCAGGTCATCTGCCGCAGCACTCCATCACTCTCCTTCTTGGTCAAATAGCCCTTACACAGCCTGGAGGTGTGTTTGGGGTCATTGTCCTGTTGAAAAATAAATGATAGTCCAACTAAACGCAAACCGGATGGGATGGCATGTCGCTGCAGGATGCTGTGGTAGCCATGCTGGTTCAGTGTGCCTTCAATTTTGAATAAATCCCCAACAGTGTCACCAGCAAAACACCCCCACACCATCACACCTCCTCCTCCATGCTTCACAGTGGGAACCAGGCATGTGGAATCCATCCGTTCACCTTTTCTGCGTCTCACAAAGACACGGCGGTTGGAACCAAAGATCTCAAATTTGGACTCATCAGACCAAAGCACAGATTTCCACTGGTCTAATGTCCATTCCTTGTGTTTCTTGGCCCAAACAAATCTCTTCTGCTTGTTGCCTCTCCTTAGCAGTGGTTTCCTAGCAGCTATTTGACCATGAAGGCCTGATTGGCGCAGTCTCCTCTTAACAGTTGTTCTAGAGATGGGTCTGCTGCTAGAACTCTGTGTGGCATTCATCTGGTCTCTGATCTGAGCTGCTGTTAACTTGCGATTTCTGAGGCTGGTGACTCGGATGAACTTATCCTCAGAAGCAGAGGTGGCTCTTGGTCTTCCTTTCCTGGGTCGGTCCTCATGTGTGCCAATTTCGTTGTAGCGCTTGATGGTTTTTGCGACTCCACTTGGGGACACATTTAAAGTTTTTGCAATTTTCCGGACTGACTGACCTTCATTTCTTAAAGTAATGATGGCCACTCGTTTTTCTTTAGTTAGCTGATTGGTTCTTGCCATAATATGAATTTTAACAGTTGTCCAATAGGGCTGTCGGCTGTGTATTAACCTGACTTCTGCACAACACAACTGATGGTCCCAACCCCATTGATAAAGCAAGAAATTCCACTAATTAACCCTGATAAGGCACACCTGTGAAGTGGAAACCATTTCAGGTGACTACCTCTTGAAGCTCATGGAGAGAATGCCAAGAGTGTGCAAAGCAGTAATCAGAGCAAAGGGTGGCTATTTTGAAGAAACTAGAATATAAAACATGTTTTCAGTTATTTCACCTTTTTTTGTTAAGTACATAACTCCACGTGTTCATTCATAGTTTTGATGCCTTCAGTGAGAATCTACAATGTAAATAGTCATGAAAATAAAGAAAACGCATTGAATGAGAAGGTGTGTCCAAACTTTTGGCCTGTACTGTATATATTAATGTATCATCAAAGATCTGCATAAACCGAAGTACACCGACATTTCTCCAAGATTAGTTAGGCTGTTGAAATGATTGAATTACAGTTGAACACATAAATGCGTATCTGACTCAGAGGAAGCATTTAAATAGAACAAACAGTGGACCAAGAATAGAGCCTAGGGGAACACCACAAATAAACTGAGCTGTATACAACAGAGAAGGTTCAGTATGAACATATGTATTTCTATAATTTTCAGGGAGGTTTTACTGTGCTTTTTAAATTTAATGCTACGTTAAACTTCTGTCTTATTACACTTGAGAGGCAAACGTACAGCTTCATTTGTTTTTGGTAAATAAAAACAAGCCATTTGTTGACTCTGTTGTGTGAGGATGGTGCTCTTTGACTTTGACAACGAATAAGAATAATAATTAAGATAGAGTCCTTTGTTTTCGGCTAGTGTAAAATATCGTGAAAACAAATGTAATAGGAAAATAAATGTATCATCATAGATCTGCCTAAATCAAATTACACAACGATTTCTTCAAGATTAGTCAGGGTATTAAAATTATTTGATTACAATAAACATAAAAATGCATATCTTACTTAGGGAAAGCATTTGAATAGAACAAACAGTAGACTGAGAATAGAGCCTTGGAGAACACCACAATTAAAATGATCTGCAGCCAACAGAGAAAATTCAGTATGAACATACATATTTATATAGGTGTTCAGGTACTTCTCCTTTGCTTTTTTTATGTACTGCTTTATATCTTTACCTTACTACAGTTAAGAGGCAAACATACTTTTTACATTGTGACATTTACTTTGGTAAATTACAACAAGCCATTTGTTGACTATGTTGTGTGAGGGTAGTGCTCTCTGACCTTGACCATAAATAAGATTAATAATTCAGATAAATTAGAGTCCTTTGTTTTCGGCTAGTTTAAAACATTGTGAAAACACATGTATAAAATAAAAAATAAATATATCATTGAATCATGTACAAGCTACATAAATCGAATTACACCAAGATTTCTTCAAGATTAGTTAAGCTGTTAAATTGCTTGATTACAGTAAGTATATTAATGCATATCTTACTCAGGGAAAGCATTTGAATAGAACAAACACTGGGCTGAGAATTGAGCCTTGGGTCTTACCACAATTTAAATGATCTGCATACAACAGAGAAAGTTCAGTATGAACATAGATATTTATATAGGTGCTCAGGTACTTCTCCTTTGCTTTTCACATTTTATGCTACTTTACAATTGTTCCTCACTACAACTGAGATCCAAATGCTGTAATGTTACTCCTCTACATGTATTGTGGAAAAAAAAACAAGCTATTTCTCAACTATGTTGTGTGAAGTGGTGACCTTTGACCTTGACAAAATTCATGAACAACCTAGATCAGAGTCCTTTTTTAGGCTTTGAGAGGAGTTATTTTAGGAAGTGTCATATAACATAAGGCTCAAATACACAGCAACAATGTCAATGAAAGATGTTAGTAATACTGAGAAGTTTTTCTTGACTGTCTTTAACAACCTCTTGTCTCTCACACAATCAGTCGATGTGAGCATGTTAGCATGCTGATGTTAGCATTTACCCCAAAGCACCGCTGTGTTAAAACACAGCCTCATTGAGCTGTGAGCACGACTGTAGATTCATCCTGTTCAGTCCATCGCATGTAAACTGCAGAATTCCCACAATGCAATATGTCACATTTCCAAACTGCTTATCCAGTCTAACCAACAGTCCAAATTTTGATAATTTAATAATGTGAAACAGTGACAAGCAGAAAATCCAACAATAAGAGAAGCTGGAGCCGTAAAGCCTGGTTAATGATTGGTTCAAAACTGTCACAGATTTGTTTTTCTCAGATCTAACAATACACCTACATTGAGCTCTCCACACCTCTCAGTTCATGATCAGACTTGTTTAGAATGAATCTGATAATCTGGATCAATCAGAGTGTCTCAGTCAGATACTTACAGCTGCTTCAGGCTCCATGTCTGTGTCTGACTCGTCCTTTAAAACACAGCAAAGTGACTTAAAACCTTAAATCCAGACCTGAATCCTCAGCCTGAGTGTTGTGCCTGTAATCTCTGTCTCTCTCTGTTTAAAGGAACTGTCGACATTCTGTCACTTGGCTGAACATGTTTCTGGTCCGACCAGTTTGTCTCCATATTTCACTTTGACTGCTCAGCTGCTGATTGGCTGACGTGTGCAGAAGTTTGAGTTGTTCCTCTCTGGGTGTTTCTGCTTTTGACAAAGATGAGGAACAATCCTTCCAGAGTGAAAATTCAGCTGCTCGGCACTTCTGTAAAGAGCTTTTTTCAAAAGGACTTGGATTAGGTTAGAATGTGGTGTATTCTTACAGCCATTAAATCCACTTTATGCTGTGTATACTGCACTCTCGCCTATTCTTTTAAAACTACAAACCTCTCTGCAAAAGTGGCAGCATTTTTATTCTACCAATATTTATTGTAACCACAGCTTTAAATTTTAAAAAGTCAATTTTCTGGAAAGTTTCTGTCAAACTACTTTTTTCCACCACTGAAAAAACATGAATTTTTGTCAGCTTGTTTTCAGTAGTCCATCATCAGTACATCTGACATATTTTAAGTAGCTGATGCCAACATGTTAGCAAACAGCTGTGATGAAAGTTCTGTTTGTTACTGTTTGGGACAGTTGAACTCTGCACTGTTAAAACAGATCTTGTAAATAAAAAGTGAAGCAACTGACCCAGTAAAATCAGGTGGAGGAGGGGCGAGGCCTGACTTTATGAATAATGAATCATCTCAGCTGTGCTCATTAATTATTTAGCAGGCTGAACTTAATGTGACCTTTGACCTACAAAACAAAAATGAGTCATGAAAAACATACAATAAAAATAAACAATAGTTATACTTTTTGTACACATTTACACAAAGTGTTACGATAAGGCAGTCAAAAACAACATGTGAGTATTTAAATTCATTTATTAAAAACCTACATTTAAGAAGCTTAAAGGTCGAGTATGCAGATTTTAGGGGCATCTATTTGCAAGAGAATAAGAATAATGTTTTGTGGCCCAGAGCGGACAAATCAAACGCTGGCTCTAGATAGATATTCACGTTTTCACATTTTTGCCTCTGTAGTTCTCCTACACCTTTGGCACGTAGGGGAAACTTAAGTTCTGCTCCTAACCACTAGATGTCACTAAATCCCACACACTGGACCTTTAAAGCAGCGAAACAAAGTTTGAATTGGAAAAATAAAAAAGATGATCATATCGACTAGGAAAAACAGCTCTGACTGGAAAACATTTATTTAATATCTAAACAAATATCTAAATAAATATAACAAGATTTCTGGTTGTCCAGTAATATCATTAAGATAGATAGATAGATAGATAGATAGAAATTTATCTTTTTATTTATTTATTTATTTATTGTAGAAGGTGATTGGAAATAAAAACAGTATGGAATTAGGACACACACACACACACACACACACAGAGCACATTAACACACACATTAAGGCAGCAAGAGGATTAGTAAGGCTGTTAGATTACACTGGACCATTATAACTTTATATCTGACTCAGAGAGATCATTTCAATGGAACAAACAGTGGACCCAGAACAGAGCCTTGGGGAACTCCAGAGGTGGAAAGTGACTCAGTAGTTAGTCAAGTGCTGTATTTAGGTACAATTTTAAAGGAACTCCACTACATCTCAGAGCACTTTATTTACCTGACAGCTTTAGTTTGTTCACAGAATCAGATTATTAATTCAAAATATAATCAGTGATGATGTATTATCATAGATGAAATGAACCAGCAGTACATGAAGTCATTAAAATGAGCTCCACCTTTACCTGATCAACACATTAATGCATCACTAATTATAATACAATAATACCATATATATTATTACATATTGAATGCTTTTACTTTTGGTGATGTTTTTAAAACACTTTGTATTTTTACTAAAGTAAATCTTTAAATGCTTTAACTTGGTACTAGTGCGTCTGCTGAGGTAAAAGATCTCTGTACTCCCTCCGGCACTGAGAGTATCAGTGTCACATTAATCACAGAAGAAATTAGGAGAGTAGGAAACAAAAACACAAAAGTAAATCCTTAAATAATAAACAATAACTAGAATAAAATAAATCTGAAAACAGTGACTGAACTATCAGTCGCAATTTAATATACAGACAATAATGATAAACTACTTGTGTGATTCACTGGGACTAAATAAAATCATATAGAACCAAACATTATTTGATTAATCAGTAAGTTATCAACAGAAAATTGGTTTTAATTGACATTAACTGACAACGTATTCAGCAGATTAATCAATAATAACATGTAGCAGTTAGTTAAACCTGTGGCTGTGAGAAAAGATGTGAAATATGAAACCAGACTCTTGCACTGTCATTTTAATTTGGCTGTTCTTGAGGGTTCTTTACATGAAGGTTCTGGTACAGGAGAACCTAATTAAAAAACATGTAGACAGCTTTCCTCCTCCTCCTCTTTGCTCCCCATCTCGTCTCGTTGCTATGCAGAGAAACCAGGTCTCAGAGCCGAGCTGTGATTGGCTGTTGCCAGGCTGCAGGGTTGGCAGCGAGCGAGAGTGTCTGAGATAAAGAAAGAGAGTGGGTTCGTCCTTTCTGCTGCTCGGCTTCCCTCTGAGAATAACAACGAGGCAGCAGAGACATGAAAACATCTCCGTCACAGAGACGAGCTAACACCAGCTGTTTTACTCTTAAAGGCTCAGTTCACACAAACAACACCATACATAACACACAGTCATTGTTTCCGTCCCTGCAGACAGTTTCAGTTTTATGTGTCCTCAGGTTATCTGTCTCTCAGGTTTCTACTGTGGACTGAGCAGAGTTTAGTTTGAGCTGCTCTCAGAGTTGGAACATGATTCAACAGCCACATTTCTCTCAGGCTGCTGTCAGCCCTAGAGTGGTCTCCTGTGGTCTGAATCAGGGACTCATGTTGTTCCAAAGTTGTATAATTGCCTAGAGTTGGTTGGTGTTCTCACGGCAGCATTTACAAGAGGACCAGATCAAATGCCTTGTGTGAGAAAGCTGCTCTTGATTGGTCAGAATTTCCATGTGGGAAAAATCCAGGAAGTAAAGCAAACGTTGAAGAAGAGTACACTTGCAAGATAAATGTGACACTTTCTAATGTCACAATGGAGGGACAACTACGCAGGTTGATTTTAGCGCTGCTCATCGTGGACTATATTGCTGTCATTGTTCATTTTAGTCAAACCATACAGTTTGAAAACGAGGCGCGGCTCCAACTAGAAAACAATGTTTTGATGCATTGGAGTTCCTGTTATTCCTGATGATTCACACAACTCACTGAAGACTGTTCCTACTTAATGTTTCCTAAGTGTGTAAAACAACACACCTGAATTCCAGCGTGCATAAACTAGGAAACACAAGACACCTGATCAGAGAGGTGACCAGAGGACGGAGTCACACCTGGTCCAAAATAGACCCACAGATAATCAGGCCTGGGCCAGCTTTGGGCCGGTGACACAGATTTATTCACTCCTGTCCTTTATATCCTGAATAGTGACACAGATTCAGTTTAGGATGGAGCTTCAGTTTGTTTTTTTGTTTTTTCTGAATATGTTTCAGAAAATATATATTTAAAGTTGGAATAGGAGGAGGAAAAAAACATAATAATAAAAAAAAGTGCCCAACACTGGTCTCATAATCCACCCGTGCCCAGACCCCCGACAGAAGTCAGTTTATTAACTCATTTTCAGTATCACTGTATGATGAGCACAAAACATACAACACTGCAGATACATAAAGTTACCTGACATAAAAACATGTAGTTTGATTTATGGTTTAATCAGTTATCAGTTTGATGTTCTTCAGGTTCCAGTAAAGCACAACCTTCATGTAAAGGTTCGGTCACGTAAAGCACGAGATGGCACAAGTTAAAATGACAGAGTCGTTCTGGGTTAATATTTAATGTATTTTCTAACAGCCATGTCACCAACAGCTGTAGGTTGTTACTGATTAATCTGCTGACGATGTTCTTGATTAAATGTTTGATTTAAAAACACAAATGTTCCCACGGTCCAAAGGGACGTCTTCACACAGATCGTTTTATTAGAAGATTTACTGAGTCAAAGAAAAGCAGCAGATCCTCACACTTGAGCTCATGTTTGTTCTCAGCTCGTCCTGCATGTCTTGGTTTATCGATAGAGTTGTTTATGTGAATCGTACAGTTTGAGTGTAGAGAACAGAGTGAGGCTGACAGGACGTGATGTCCGGAGGTAGCAGGTATCTGTCTCTGCTGCTGCTGCCGAGTCCTGATGGTGAAAAGCAGATCAAGCAAAGCGATCATGTTTCTGCTTGTCTCGTCTTGCTGGCGTCCATTTTGTGGTCATGTGTGCAGCTGGTTGTTTAATGGAGGAGGTTTGGATCAGGGCCACAGACTGAGGCGCAAACACACAGGAGAAAATATCCAGGTCCACACACACACACACACACACACACACACACACACACACACACACACACACCGACGGCTTCATTTGGATTCACAGACTGAAATCCTCAGAGAGTCGTATCAAAGCTTTCATCCCCCCTCTCTCCATCCCGTCTCCATGGCAACGCCTCAGGGTGTGTGTGTGTGAGCCAAAGGCCGTCTGCAGACAAAGAGCTGTGTGTGTGTGTGTGTGTGTGTGAGCAGGCGGCAGTGAAATGAATGTTTTACATGTTGTGGTGTTTCTGTAATAAAGCAGCAGACGTATTTCCAGCTGGTGAAACAATGTGAATGATTTCACTCTTTAACAGAAAACATCAGAAACAGACAAAAAATACTAATAAATTGATTATTAAAGAGAATTTTTTTTCTCTTGTAATTTACTTTTTATTTTATTTTATTTTTTTTTATATATTTTTTTATATATATATATATATTTTTTTTATTGGTATTTAGCATACACTGTACGCACACGTCACACATTCCTGCTGGTCACACTTTGATATTAAGAGCCGGACCAGACAGAATTTTACACACTTGACTCAGCAGCTGCTCCCGAGTGGAGCATGACGACACCTGGACCGTAAAGCAAACATGTAATTAGACTTTCACTTTGCAACCTGTAGCACCTCTGTCATGTAAACAAACCTCATCATCATCAGCTGGGTGCACGAGGTCAGACTGGAGATGTAACCTCTTCAACTGTCTTATGAAGACATTTAACCCAAAAAAGAACAGAAATAACTGAGATTTAATTAATTAAAACACAAAAATAATAATGATGAAAATCACAGAAAGCATTCAGAGTAACGAATATATAGTTGACATACAGAGGTTATTCTGCATTTGTTTTATTAAATCAGCTTTCAGCCTAAATATAAAGACTGCAGTATATGTGCCCCCGTTACCTTTGTCAGATTTTTAATCTCAGAAAGTGTTTTTAAAACTCATTTATTTTTCTAATGAAACAGATTATAAAAAAATCTACACTGACAACTGGTCTCATCGTTTGTCACTTAACATGTAAACTGTTAATAATACAAAGTGAAAAAAGTAAAGAAATAAGAGGAAGTCAATGTGTCTGTGCTTCTGTAGTAAAACTGAAATTCTTCAGCCTGAAAACACAAAAAGCAGAAATAGGTCAGTGTTGTTTTTTTCCTCTTCTTCTCTGGCGTTCAGCCCAGGACTGACTCACCTGCTGCACCCAAGGGATTTATAATAATACCGTTAAAAATATATATAATATTTTAGCTTTGGCACAGGTCAGGAGCTGTCTGCAGCGCACTGCAGCTGCTGTGATTTTTCTATGGAAACAAAAAGGAAAATGTCAACCATGAAACTCATACACACATTCTGACAAGAACTCTAATATGGAATATTCTTATTTTAATTATCATTATTTTTTTCCATTTATTTTTTATTATTTATTTTTTTTAAATTTCATAGTAGTTTTAGATTCATTTTTGCCTGTATTTTGTTTTTACCATATTTTATATTGTTTAATTATCCTTTTTTTTAATTTCTGGTAAAAAAAAAATTGTGTGTGTATATTTTATTATTTTTGTCAGTGACCCCCTTGAACACGAGATGGTACATCTCATGGATTTTTTCCTAATATAGACTTTCCAACAATTTGTACAAACTGACCTTATATCAGTTTCTGTGTTGGAAAATAAATAATAAGTTACACATCAGCCAACCTTCGTTCTCATATTTAAAATGTACTGGTGATATAAGTGGACGATCTCTGACAGGAATAAACACACACACTCTGCTTGGTGTTTAAACTGTGTGTCATGTTGTGTGTGTGCAGCTGTCTGGAGCCGAGAAGCCTCCTGCTGGAGAACCGGACAACAACTCGTCATCGGCTGCTGCAGCAGGAACAGATGCCGCTGCAGACGGAGGCAGCAAGGTGACACATCAACACATCACTGACACACAAACTACACTGCTCAGAAAATGAAGAGAAGATTTAAATCACACTTCAGATGTTGATGGACGAATTATTCAAGTGGAAAATCTTTATTGATGTAGAACATTTAATTTGTTGAGAACAAAATGACGTAACAACAGTCAGTGGAAACCAAGATCATCAACACACTGAGGGCTGGACTCACAATCACACTGAAAATTAAAGGCAAATATTGAAATCACAGCTGATCCACCTCATCATGTGACTCAGTAGTGTGTACGGCCCCCGCCTGCCTGTATGACCTCCTGACAACATCTGAGCATGCTCCTGACTGGAGCAGGAGTAGGAACTGCCTACACACTCTGGACACATGAGGCCGGGTCCTGCACCAGGAGGAACCCAGGGCCCTCTGCACCAGGAGGAACTCAGGGCCCACTGCACCAGGAGGAACCCAGGGCCCTCTGTACCAGGAGGAACCCAGGGCCCTCTGCACCAGGAGGAACCCAGGGCCCTCTGCACCAGGAGGAACCCAGGGCCCTCTGCACCAGGAGGAACCCAGGGCCCTGCTGCTGGGTTGATGCCCTTCTACGGCCCTGTGCAGCTCTCCTGGTGTAACGGCCTGTCTCCTGGTATCTGGTATCAACCTGACTGGGCTGCAGGTTCCGCCTCATGCTACCAGTAGTGCCAAGGACACTAGCAGAAGACCAAACTAGAGAAGAATCAGTGAGGAAGGATAAGGAGAGAGCAACTGTCTGTGGACACCACATGTAAAACCATTTCCTGTTTATCTCTTTGATTTGACCCAAAGCAGCTGAAGCTGATTCACAATCACTGGATTGATCTCCCTGAAGTTTGACTGACTTCCTGTCACACTGTGACCATCAAGTGTTCCCTTCATTTTTTTGAGCAGTGTAAAAACTCTACATTTCAACATGTTTGGATAATATTTTGATCCAGTGTTTGATTTTCACATATTTACTGTGTGACAAACTGAACGTGCTGCTATGTTTAAATTGTATCTGTCATACATTCAGTTTTATATGGGTTCACATCTTTCTCCAATATATTTTTTGATTATACTGCTGATCACATCAGCATTTTAATGTTGGACAGATTTTATTTAATATGTTCATATATCATACTAGGTATTAGGAAAATATGGCTTTACTGTACAACTTAAATTAATATTAAAAAAGGCACTTCTCTGTTTTGCACAATGATTCAAAATAAAATGTATGAAAAACTGTTTGTAGGAAGCTGCAGTATTGGAATCTAAAGTAAGAAATGAAAAAATCGAAATAGTTTTATTATATTTACTTCTTTATTTAATCTAAAGCAGTTTTAAATAACTGCACATACACACCATATTTTAAGATATGTGTGATGCATGGCGGCTCGGTGGCGATAGTTTATCTCACATAACATAAGAAAAAAAATAAAATAACCTGTAACTGATCAAACGACAGGTTCCACTGTCCAGTTTCAAGTCTCTAATTTGTTAGAGGTTGAAACATGTTTATTAATGCCCCCCCCCCCCCCCCCCCCCCCCCCCCCCCCCCCCTCAGGTGGAGATGGTGTTCTGGCTGCTCTCCATGCTCGCTAACAGAGATAAGGAGGAGATGTCTCGGACTCTGCTGGCTCTGTCCAGCTCTCAGGACAGCTGCATCGCTATGAGAAAGTCTGGCTGCGTCCCCCTGCTGGTCCAGATCCTGCATGAACCTCCAAGCAGCGGTGGTCCTGGGGAGACGGCGGCGAGCGGTACAACAACCGGCTGCAGCAGAGAGGCCAAATCCAGAGCCAGCGCCGCCCTCCACAACATCATCTACTCCCAGCAGGACGAGGGCCAGGCCCGCCGGGAGATGAGGGTGCTGCACATGCTGGAGCAGATCCGGACCTACTGCGACAGCGGCTGGGACTGGATCGAGAGCCACGCCGGGACACCGTCACCCGGGGGATCCAAAACTACCGGTGAGTCAAGTTCTCTGTAAACCCTGAGTAAGCAAAACCAGAAGTTCTTTCTGATCCTGGTGGAACCAAAACCAGTGGTGTATGAGGTTCTCTCCAGCGTGAAAAAAGCATCGACCATGACGGAGACAGTCCATCGTTTGTTGTAAATAAAATATTTGTGAGAACACAGTTTATGAACTGTTGTAGATCTAGTAGATATTTACTGTGAATAAAATGAGCTCCACTTCTACCAGCATTAATGTGTCAGTGATTATACTCCAATAATATAAACACAGTATTATTCTGCATCATGGATTCTTTTACTACTGGTACTTCAGAATGTTTTGATGCTGAAACTTTTGCACTTTTACTTAAGTTGAATTTTGAATGCAGAGCTTTTACTTTATTACACTGTGGTGTTTTTACTGACATGTTCCTTGTCTTCTTTGTGTTCTTCTCTGCAGACATCCCTGAACCTGTGGACCCTCAGATCTGTCAGGCCATGTGCGCCATCATGAAGCTTTCCTTTGAAGAAGAGTACCGACGTGCCATGAATGAATTAGGTTCGTGAAACACCTGCAGGTCTTCGATTTTCCCCAAAATATCAGACATATTTTGCTGAGGGTCTGCTGTGTTGTCTTCCAGGTGGTCTGCAGGTGGTGGCTGATCTGATCCACCTGGACCAGGACATGTACGGCATGCAGAACGACCCCATCAACATGGCTCTGCGCCGCTACGCAGGGATGGCTGTGACTAACCTCACCTTTGGAGATGTCGTCAACAAGGTACAGAGACACTGTGGTGACTTTCAAAGTTGTGCATGGATCAGTGGGCGGGAATGTTTGTCAGCAGGACTGATTGTAGAGAAGTAGATCAACCTTATTGATCCCACCAGTGGGAATTAAAATATTAGAGCAGAGAGAGTGAAAGTGAAAAGTACTGATGAACACTATGACCATTTATGACATACTACTCTATGACTTTTTATTTTATATCTTTTAGGATCTTTTTTTCTTACTTTTATTATATATCAAACTACACTGTTTGTTTTGTTTTTAATCATACAATTTTTTTAAAACTTTTTATTCCTTATACAATACCATGACACTGACTATTTATGGACTGCAATACCATGACATTTTTATCACTTTTAATGGCAAAGCTATGAAAATAACATAGTATAGTATGTCGTTTACATATTTTTATAGCTTTTCATGCCATACTACGACTACATACAAACACAAATACATTTTGACGACACATTATACAATGATGTTTTTTGCATAATTTTTGACGACATACTAAACTGTCACGTTTTTCCATTATTGTTGATGACATGCTATACTATGACATTTTTTCACATTTTTTGATCACATACTATACTGTGACGTTTTCGGGTTTTTTTTTACAACATACTACTATTTTCATGATTTCTTACGATGTGCTATACTATGACTTTTTTCCTGATTTATTACATGCTATACTATGAAGTTTTTTCATGATTTTGGACGACATGCTATACTATGACTTTTTTCCTGATTTATTACGACATGCTATACTATGAAGTTTTTTCATGATTTTGGACAACATGCTATACTATGACTTTTTTTCGTGATTTTGGACGACATGCTATACTATGACATTTTTTCGTGATTTTGGTCGACATGCTATACTATGACTTTTTTCCTGATTTATTACGACATGCTATACTATGAAGTTTTTTCATGATTTTGGACGACATGCTATACTATGACTTTTTTTCATGATTTTGGACGACATGCTATACTATGACTTCTTTTTCATGATTTTGGACAAAATGCTATACTATAACTTTTTTCATGATTTTGGATGACATGCTATACTATGACGTTTTTTCATAATTTTTGACAACATGCTATACTATGACTTTTTTTCATGATTTTTGACAACATGCTACACTATGACTTTTTTCATAATTTTGGACAAAATGCTATACTATGACTTTTTTTCATGATTTTGGACAAAATGCTATACTATGACTTTTTTTCATGATTTTGGACGACATGCTATACTATGACGTTTTTTCACGATTGTGGACGGCATGCTATACTATGACGTTTTATCACAATTTTTGACAACATGCTATACCTTGACATTTTGTCATGATTTTGGACGGCATGCTATACTATGACATTTTTTCATGATTTTTGACAACATGCTATACCTTGACATTTTTTCAGGATTTTGGACGGCATGCTATACTACGACGTTTTTTCACGATTTTGGACGGCATGCTATACTGTGACATTTTTTCATGATTTTGGACGACATGCTATACCTTGGCGTTTTTTCACGATTTTGGACGGCATGCTATACTATGACATTTTTTCATGATTTTTGATAACATGCTATACTATGACGTTTTTTCACGATTTTCGATGGCATGCTATACTATGACGTTTTTTCACGATTTTGGACGACATGCTATACTATGACGTTTTTTCATAATTTTTGACAACATGCTATACTATGACGTTTTTTCATAATTTTTGACAACATGCTATACTATGACGTTTTTTCATAATTTTTGACAACATGCTATACCTTGACGTTTTATCACGATTTTTGACATGCTATACTATGACTTTTTTTCATGATTTTGGACGACATGCTATACTATGATGTTTTGTCATGATTTTGGACAACATGCTATATCTTGACGTTTTATCACAATTTTGGACGGTATGCTATACTGTGACATTTTTTCACGATTTTGGACGGCATGCTATACTACGACGTTTTTTCACGATTTTGGACGGCATGCTATACTATGACATTTTATCACGATTTTGGACAACATGCTATACTATGACGTTTTTTTCACGATTTTGGACGGCATGCTATACTATGACATTTTTTCATGATTTTTGACAATATGCTATACCTTTACGTTTTTTCATGATTTTGGACGGTATGTTATACTTTGATGTTTTTTCATGATTTTTGACAACATGCTATACCTTGACATTTTATCATCACGATTTTGGACGGCATGCTATACTATGACGTTCTATCACGATTTTTGACAACATGCTATACCTTGACGTTTTATCACGATTTTTGACAACATGCTATACTATGACTTTTTTTCATGATTTTGGACGACATGCTATACTATGATGTTTTGTCATGATTTTGGACGACATGCTATACCTTGACGTTTTATCACGATTTTGGACGGCATGCTATACTGTGACATTTTTTCACGATTTTGGACGGCATGCTATACTACGACGTTTTTTCACGATTTTGGACGGCATGCTATACTATGACATTTTTTCATGATTTTTGACAATATGCTATACCTTTACGTTTTTTCACGATTTTGGACGGTATGTTATACTTTGATGTTTTTTCATTATTTTTGACAACATGCTATACCTTGACATTTTATCATCACGATTTTGGACGGCATGCTATACTATGACGTTCTATCACGATTTTTGACAACATGCTATACCTTGACATTTTATCATCACGATTTTGGACGGCATGCTATACTATGACGTTTTTTCACGATTTTGGACGACATGCTACACTATGACGTTTTTTCACGATTTTTGACTACATGCTATACTATGACGTTTTTTCACGATTTTGGACGACATGCTATACCATGACGTTTTATCACGATTTTTGACAACATGCTATACCTTGACATTTTTTCACGATTTTTGACGGCATGCTATACTATGACGTTTTTTCCTGTTTTTTGACAACATGCTATGCTATGACGTTTTTTCATGATTTTGGACGGCATACTATACTATGACGTTTTTTCATGATTTTTGACAACATGCTATATCTTGACATTTTATGACGATTTTGGACGGCATGCTATACTATGACGTTTTTTCGCGATTTTGGACGATATGCTATACTATGACGTTTTATCACGATTTTTGACAACATGCTATACTATGACGTTTTTTCACGTTTTTGGACGACATGCTATACTATGACGTTTTTTCATAATTTTTGACAACATGCTATACCTTGACGTTTTATCACGATTTTTGACATGCTATACTATGACTTTTTTTCATGATTTTGGACGACATGCTATACTATGATGTTTTGTCATGATTTTGGACAACATGCTATATCTTGACGTTTTATCACAATTTTGGACGGTATGCTATACTGTGACATTTTTTCACGATTTTGGACGGCATGCTATACTACGACGTTTTTTCACGATTTTGGACGGCATGCTATACTATGACATTTTATCACGATTTTGGACAACATGCTATACTATGACGTTTTTTTCACGATTTTGGACGGCATGCTATACTATGACATTTTTTCATGATTTTTGACAATATGCTATACCTTTACGTTTTTTCATGATTTTGGACGGTATGTTATACTTTGATGTTTTTTCATGATTTTTGACAACATGCTATACCTTGACATTTTATCATCACGATTTTGGACGGCATGCTATACTATGACGTTCTATCACGATTTTTGACAACATGCTATACCTTGACGTTTTATCACGATTTTTGACAACATGCTATACTATGACTTTTTTTCATGATTTTGGACGACATGCTATACTATGATGTTTTGTCATGATTTTGGACGACATGCTATACCTTGACGTTTTATCACGATTTTGGACGGCATGCTATACTGTGACATTTTTTCACGATTTTGGACGGCATGCTATACTACGACGTTTTTTCACGATTTTGGACGGCATGCTATACTATGACATTTTTTCATGATTTTTGACAATATGCTATACCTTTACGTTTTTTCACGATTTTGGACGGTATGTTATACTTTGATGTTTTTTCATTATTTTTGACAACATGCTATACCTTGACATTTTATCATCACGATTTTGGACGGCATGCTATACTATGACGTTCTATCACGATTTTTGACAACATGCTATACCTTGACATTTTATCATCACGATTTTGGACGGCATGCTATACTATGACGTTTTTTCACGATTTTGGACGACATGCTACACTATGACGTTTTTTCACGATTTTTGACAACATGCTATACTATGACGTTTTTTCACGATTTTGGACGACATGCTATACCATGACGTTTTATCACGATTTTTGACAACATGCTATACCTTGACATTTTTTCACGATTTTTGACGGCATGCTATACTATGACGTTTTTTCCTGTTTTTTGACAACATGCTATGCTATGACGTTTTTTCATGATTTTGGACGGCATACTATACTATGACGTTTTTTCATGATTTTTGACAACATGCTATATCTTGACATTTTATGACGATTTTGGACGGCATGCTATACTATGACGTTTTTTCGCGATTTTGGACGATATGCTATACTATGACGTTTTATCACGATTTTTGACAACATGCTATACTATGACGTTTTTTCACGTTTTTGGACGACATGCTATACTATGACGTTTTTTCACAGTTTTGGATGACATGCTATACTATGACGTTTTTTCATGATTTTGGACAGCATGCTATACTATGACGTTTTATCACGATTTTGGACAACATGCTATACTATGACGTTTTATCACGAATTTTGACAACATGCTATACTACGACGTTTTTTCACGATTTTGGACGACATGCTATGACGTTTTTTCACGATTTTGGATGACATGCTATACTATGACGTTTTTTCAGGATTTTGGATGACATGCTATACTATGACGTTTTATCACGATTTTTGACAACATGCTATACTATGACGTTTTTTCACAATTTCGGACGACATGCTATACT